ATATGACAGAAGGGGTTGAAGTTCATACCGTTCATTGGTGTTTGTAACGTTGCCTCTGAACAGTGAGTGGTGTTTGACACCCATTCGAAACGGTTTTTCGGGAGGTACTGAGCAAATGTTATTTGTTGCAATGCAAAGTTTAGAGCCCTACTATGTAAACTGCGGAACAGGAAGGGAGGCTGGTAGTGCAGTCATGTGGGTTGAAGGCATTTTTCCCAGATCATTTTTTGTATGCAGTTTCTCAAAGACTAGTCGAAAGTAATACGTTGCATTTTTTTGATATTTACAGACGAAAGTGTCGAACGTACGAAGAATACGTCCTAACGCGGGCATGATGAAAGGGTGTTGCTTCCTGCAATATTCAGAAGACAATTTAATAGCGCTTAGCATGTGCAATCAAGATCTGAACTCCTAAGTAGCATTGGAATTTAAGGTGCTGGGCGAGCTTGTCCAAAGACAGCGGAAAAACGGTGAATTGAAGGTCACTTTTTGAATGCGGCAAAACTGCTGGCCATATGTCCGTGATCTGACATTTCTGTCACTTTTGAACGAGGTTTCGCCTGTTAAACACTTGTCCTATGCGCGTGCCGGCTGCTGACAGGTTGCTACCCAGCTATCATGGGAAACAGCCTTTCATTCTATTTGACGGAGGAACCGTCACCAATAATGCCACCATCCGTAGACTTTTTAACAAGGTAACAAAAAGCTCAGTGCAGTTATGATTTCAGCGCCAATCAGTGTTGGGCAATCAAGTGGAAATGGACATGACGTCGTCTGTAGAAGAAAACGAATCACTTCTACGAGTGGGCATAGCGTTTCAATCGATGGAGGCCCGTCATCGTGTATCCGACGCGTTGGAGAAAAATTATGAACGAGGTTGGGTTTTTGATAGCTTTGAGTTTCGACTTGGTTTTTCGTATGCACTTCTGAGTATTTTTCTCCGTTTTTTTTTGTTTTCTGTTTGTCTTTTTATGATTCTCCACATGTATGTGCTTTGCCTAATTTTGCTAATTTTTTGGTGACACGCCTCACTCAAATTCCCTTAATGGGTAATTCCCCAGCTTTATATTTTTTTATTCACGTTCTTGATATCATGATTCATCCGGCTTGTTTTTAATGAGCAAATTACATGGTGTAACTGTAGCTGTTTCGAAATAGGACCTGGATTCATCGGAATGGTTATTTTCATAGCCGTGATATAATTATCTGAAGGAGGATGAGAAACCAAGCAAACAGAAAACCTAAACAGATGCGACTGAGTCAAATAAAATAGATGGTCATATTTCTGCCTAGTGCGCTCCAACTCCGCCACTCCGCCCACATTGTTCCTCCAAACTGACCATCGATCGGGGGGGGGGGGAGGTGGGAAATAGATTATGTATTTCTGATGAAGCCTAATTTGGTAATTAGTTCTGAACTGCTTATTTTCATCCACTTTAGCCATCATTTGAAGTTTTTACTGGAAATGTCAAAAAAAAACTCCGCTAAAATACCAGGAACTCGTAAAAAGGACCTCTCCTCCGTTTCAAGACCCCCAACATCCTTTAAACTACCTCTTAGCTCCTAAAATTTCCGAAGTGCGTGGGCTCCAATATGCGACCCCCCGACACACCTCCTTCTTTCATTCTTTCAAGCAACCGAAATCCCTCCCTCGTTGCTACAGTGCCAAACAGTTGGCCCTGCCTTCACCGCAAGACTTTTTTGTATGAAGGTTGAAAAGCTTCTGTAGCTCGTGTCTAGGAGTCTTTCAGTTATGGGAATCATCAGAATGTTACTTGTTTTCAGTGCGATTGCGGCGTTTGGGAAAGTTGGAGAGTTGAGGAGTGTTTTCCTTAGTTCGTGTTGTTCGACGCTTGGAACTGTTGAATCGATGTGAAATGATCTGTCGCCTGCAGCGTCTTCCGAATGTAGTGGTCGTTTGTTATTTCGCTCACTTGTATACACACTCTAGTAGAAGAACGCCAGAGCTATTATAAAGAGCAGAACTCATTAATCTCGGTGGTCAACAAAGCAACATTAGTCGCCTTTCGTTTCGTTTTGATATCGTACACTTGTTGTTCTTGTTTTTAACCCTGATCTGGTTCTTCCAAGCGATTCACGTAGAAATTCGGTGAAATGCTTCATCGGTCTTCTTCCCTCATACTCCAATGCTTTACCGTCCTGCCCTCATCTTCAATCCCATCCGAATGTGTAGTGTATGATTTTCTCTTGAACCTTTCATCTTTGTTTCTTTTTTTGTTTTGGTTGTCATGATATTTGTGTATTTTTCAAATGTCTTATGTGTGCAATGCAATGCAACGCCGCGTTCTGCAAATCAAATGTGATTTTCTTTAGCCTTTGTCATGTATTTGTGTTTTCCGTGTATCAGCATACGTGGAAAACTTTTCGCTCGTCAACACTTTGTAGTAGTAAAGCTTATAGCAGAGTATAAACCTATCAGCTGTTCTGATCACTCTTGTTTTGTTGAATAAGCTGTCCGTAAGGTGTTGAAGTGACACCTGCTAGTGCCTCTGGCGAGTGTCAGTGAGTATAGCCAAGTGGAACTGGTTATATTTAGTTAGTCGCTTTATAACACTGACTTAGTTTTCTTGCAGATATAGCTTTGCATCTGTCGTGTCGGTATTGGGTTATGGGTTATTTCGGGATTAGGATTTCGGGACGCCAAGATCAAAGCTAAGCGTCATGTTGTTTTTATATGTAGATCAGGTGCGAATCCATGCATCATCCCGCAACAACTGCTAGGTTAGCGGAGCGCCAGGACTGAATTTCACGCCAGGTGTTAGAGAGCGTGAGTTGGTTATTCAGTCGTGGACCAGATAGGACGTGGGGAGATGGGCAGTAGATGCGGTTAAGGTGGAGCGAGGCGGCTTGAGAAAGTGACATTAAAAACAAAAGTCGCGATAAATCGCATGAAGGAAAGAGGCTAGTAGTGAGGGTAGATAAGTATCCACGTAGACTTTAGATGACACCTCTTTCACGACAGAAGGCTGTCTGATACGCTGAACGGTGTGATAATCACCGAACAGCGCCATACCCCAGACACGCCCACCGCCGCCATGTCGAAGGGACGATAGCAGCGATCTATCCCAAATGATGCTGTTACAATCACTTCGATTTCTTTTAGTGCATGGTTGCAGTTAACATCAAAGCAGCAGCTATCGATTAATCTAGCCATGATGCGGGTGATTAACATAACCCGAAAACTAATGTTATCGGTAACTCAGTCCACAGTCGAAAAAAAAACGTGAAATGAGGGTCCTTTTCTCTGGTTTTTGACTACTTTTTAGCGACTTACCACTTCACAACCCTACTTTCACCTTTTGTTGTCATCAGCTTGTTACGATCGCAGCCGACAAATTCGTGTCGCCCCCTCCGCTATGTAGTGCCCTACTCTTCGTAAAGTTTACCCACGTTTACTCCAATGGAACATGTTCCGAGTTATTCAAGATATCCCCAAACAGCTCACGTAGAAAAAAGCGAACTTAAAGTTCATGGCTAATCCCCATGGAACATTTCCATGAAATAAAGCAGCAGTCCCAGCAGGGTCTGTTGCCTTCAATACTATAGGTTGAAGGGTGCACTAGCTCTAGTGAAGAAAGGGTAATTGAAAAGAAAACTCACTTCGGAAACAAAGTAAAACGCCCTTGTCACAGGTTTCAACCACGTCCACTTGCCAGCCGAGGAGAGCGCGTGCTTGGGTGCTATGTCGCGTTTCAAAATTAATGCTACGTCTTTTCGATTGATTTTACTTGTTTAACTCATTTAATTATTGTATCTTCTTGTTTGTAATGATGCATATGTCTCCGTTTGTATTAGAGCAAATGCGGCACCAGCCAGCGAGAAATGCAAGCCAGTCCAGACAACTCGTCCGACCACCCATCCCTCCATTTCAAAGGGGAAGAGGGGAAGCCCCAGTTTCAAGGCTTCGCCGGCGTTTTTCTTCGCTTTTTTCCTTATGAGCGGTTACACTCATAACTATAACTTCATTATTGGCGTTTTTGGCTGATTTTTTTTTTCTTTTTGTGTGCCCACGAATTCGATCTGGATGGGTTGCTTTTTAGCTCGATTGTATAATTGCATTGAGACTCCAACGAAATGTGGTATGATTATGACTTGGACCATTAGGGGTAGCCGATTAGCAGAGGAGCGTTTGTTTTCGCCGATACTTGTTCTGACGGTTATTCATCCATTCTCTGCAATTATTCTAGGATGCATGGCGCATCCTTTAATATTCATTAGTGTCGAAGAATTTGTCGCTACGGTGGCACACGGGCCTGAATTATTTATTCCCAGGTGGGCCACACAAGCTCAAACTCTCTGAAAGGGTGCTCTCTACGTTCAAATTCAGGTCGTTTTTCCTCAATTTCTGCGGTGTGGAACATAAATGGAGCGCTGGGTCGAACTGCACCTTTTCCTTTCCAATTTCCGGATTCCGGACTTTCGGAATCAGGAGAATCTCTCGTTTTCTTCATTTAAATCGTATATTTTCAGTTTGTTATGTAATTTCTCAGTCTTAGCTCGACACATTTCTGGCCCTGGGTTCTGATCCCGGCTACTTCCGAAATGACCTTTCGTGCACTTACGCTCAGGCTAAAAGTCCTTCCCCGTTATGCCTATGCGCAAAAGTTGGATGTTTATGATTCGAACTCCGACCATGGCTTGAACGGTATCGTGTTACACACATCAGCCCATCACCCATTACGCCTAGTCGGTCCTCCACCGCTCCACCATCACCATCATCACAAACCTGCCAAATATGGACAACGTGGGGAAGTCGCCAAAGGCGACATCCGCAGCCCCACGTTTTCCGCGCTGGATTATTGTCGCCCAATTAGGCAACCTCTTCTTACTTGTCATACTGTATTTGCATGCCTATATCATGCTTTTGGTAACTTTTTTCTATACTTTGTTTATGTTTTAAGAGCAGGGCCGGCCTGTAGCAGTGTGCGAGGAGAATGGGCGTGGCTTGCGGCAGTGGGCGGAGACTGGCAAGTCTAGGTGGCTGGTTGAGGGGACAAGAGCTTTTCTGTGAGGGCACATTTGAATGAGAAATGCTATTTTATCACGTATAATCATAGCGAATGCCTAAAAATTCACTGAAGCAATTGAAAATTGGCAACATGAACCAGCGAGTTGTCAGTCCTCACCTTTGCCGGAAACCAAAAATCGGAATTTCCCGTTTCAGGATCTTGTTGAAAAGGTGAGTTCTCCTGGTAACATTATTATTCTAGGGTATCGAATGTGATCTACCGGAGGGTAAGCTGAGCGCACCAGAACAACGGACGAAACGATCGGCAGCAAAGCGTACTCTACCAGTTGAAATCGAAGAGTACACGATTATCATTGGAGAAAATACGCTGATTCCAGTACGCTGTCGAGATTTGATATTTCCTTTTTCATTGATGTCTTATGAAATTTGAAGTGTCACACGTTGTAAGCATTTATTAGGACTGATTTCGCCAATGATTATGCGCCACGCACTTGTCTTCAGCTTAAAATGGTAGGAGGACATGTACTTTCACTAACCAGGAAATGCTTTGAACTTTCCATGGAATTTTATAAACAGACCTACATGCATTGATATAGTACTGAACGCCGTTCACAAACATGCGCACTAGAACTGCTACATGAACTTTCTAAGG